CACAATCTCTGCTGTTATCTGAGAAATTATTTCTGATTTCATTTTTTCCAGATCCTCTTTTGTTGTCAGTTCAGGGAGTCCAGGGGGTTGAGTATCAGATTGTTCCATCTTGTTTCCCTTTGGGGTTGTTTTAGTTGATCTGTAAGTCTGGTTTTGAAACTTGTTTATGTATCTTCTCATTTCAACCAGGGGTGGGGAGGCTGGGGGGGGGGTGTTGCTGGTACCCGCCCAGCTCACCTCCTGTGGGCTGGGGAAGGGGATGTTACTTCCTTCGGGAAGCCTCCTCCGGGGTGCTGGGAGCGGCTCACCTCCTGTGCGCTGGGGAAGGGGTCTTTTTTGGAATTTGACCTACATGTCAGTCATCCACAGACACACCCAAAACTGTTTTCCACTAATCTACCATGTGTTTCTTAATACATTCAAGCTGACATATCACAGTTTTCATAAAAATCAAATGATATTATTCCCATGAAGTGTTGGGAGTGTTTCATAATACTCAGTAAGTGTACAATAATATCAGTTATGTCAGGATTTTGATAGTAAGGTGATATTTATCCAGGTTGATGTTCATTGTGCAAACTTATCACGTGTATACTGGTGACATCTAAACACTGGGCTACGGTCAGTGCATGCTCTATTTTTATTATATGTGCTGCTGAAGTGAGCACATATGCTCTATTTTTAAAAACAGTTTTATTAAGATACAACTCAAAGGAGAGTGAAAAATATTCTAGATCTGGAATGTGGGCCAGGATTTAATTAATAGAAACATTATTGGACATGTAAATCTAAAATTAGGATTTCATTTATCTATCCTTTCCTAGCATTAGAAGGATGTTTGCTTATTTTGATATACAATGGCATTTAAAAAATTAATATGCAGAAGACACTAGCCTAAATTAAACATTTTGCAATAAATCTATTATTTTGCCTTATACCTCTCTCATGAAGATATTCAATTAATTCTGAGGCAATGCAGTGTAATAGAATTATGTTATTTCCTTTTAATTATTTACAAGGAGCTAAGTAAAGTTATTATAAAACACTCAACATTTTGATCATCAAATATAAGTATTCATTTTCTTTTGCTGCTTCATTTCCGGCACAGAATTTGAAATGGGCAGACACTAATTTTACTGTTAAACACTGTTGGCCCTTGTATTTTCCAGTCTGTCATTTATACCATTCGAATAACAAAGTTACCCTCTTTTGATTATTTGTTGTCTATACCTCCTGAGCTTGGATGTAATACTCCCAGATCACATAAATAGTACTTTTTCTGTCAGAATGACATTTCTCTTTTTTCCATATTAAGGAATTTTAGGTTGAAAACACTCAGGAGCACTTCCTCTATAAGGAAGAAACAAAAGAAAACCAAACCAAATGTCTCACAGCATTTTCCCTGTTGGTATTAGTCCCACCTCCACCCATCATTGCTGCCACTCTTCTATAAGGCAGAACATTCTAGAAGTGGTTCCTGGGTGCTCATTTACAGCCAATGAAATCAATTTCTTTTTAACCTAACTCATACCCCTGAAAAAAGGTGAGCTGTTCTCTGACAGGCCACTTAAGTGTGGCAGCTTTAAATTACCAGAAATTCAGAAATGCTCTCAAAACCTGTAGTACTCGGACAATCTTTATTAATTTTTAAAAAATTTCTTGTTTACTGAAAAAAATAAATCAATAAGGTGAAAGTATACCTTACTGTACTTCATAGATTTTCTTGTACATGAATGGCATTACTCATAAAATCTTAAAAATATTCTAATTTTGAACTCCTCTTTCTTTAACTTTATTTCTAAGGCCTTACATTTTCATGTAATTCCATTACTATTTTAAGCCTCTAATTATTCAAGATAAATGAGGCATGATTATTACATGACTTAATTAGACAGCCTAAGTATCTCAAATTGTCAGTCATAATTCAAATATTAGGTATTATTATTGTAAACATTGTGGGAAACTGAAGATAAGTAAGATTTACCATAATTAGATTTCCAAAACTGAGATAAATTATGGTAGTGCATGTTTAATATTAATAAGATATATGACCGAACACTCACTACCCATAACATCCAAGATTAGTTAAGTAGATGTTATGGGTAGTGAGTTAAGTAAATGTTAAAGGGTAGTGGGTACTAACTATGCCATGTGCCTCACTGCAACTGGAAAGGTATGAATTATCTCAATTATTCTGGCAAAAAACTGAGGTTCTAAGAGGCTCAATAAGTTGCCCAGTGACATTTAAAAGGGCTCCTTAAGAAGGACAAGATCTTCCTCATCCCTGGATCCTAGGCTCTTGTCCTAACACCTGAAATACCTATGTGTGCCTGCTATCGTTTGGATTGTAAATGGTTCCCAAAAGTCCATAAGTTAAGGACTCAGTCCTCAGTTTGGTTCTATTGGGATGGAGTGGAAACCAGACCCAGATGGGGTCTGGTGGGAGGTCTTCTGGGGATATCCCCTTCCTCTCTGGCCCTTCCCCAACTTGTCATTTATTTTGGGAATGGCTCCCTGTCTAGCTCCCACTCCTGATTGTAGGCATGTGGCTTTGGCAGAACTGCTGGGCCTCCCTTTAACCCCACATCCAGACCACAGATGGCTGGTTCAGGGGGATGGATGGTATCTGCTAGGACTTGTTCAACTAGAATTGAGGAGGAACCAGCCTTGACCTTTGCAGACTGCACTGTGGGGCTAGAGCTATTTGTCCTTGTTTGTGGTCAAGGAAGCTGGCCACGTGGAAAGGAAGGAGGCCACAGGTGGAGAGAAGATTTCTGTGGGTGTCAAGGTTGCTACCAGCTGTCCTTGAGGCCAGCTATAGCTATGACCTTTTTACATTTGCCTGCTCAAACTTTTCTTCAGATTCCAGATGCTGTAATATTTCTTTATTCCTAAACGGAGTTGGGTTTTTGACATTTGATGTTAAAAATGCACAATGTATACAAGATTAATTTGTTAGGTATCATGTCAGCAATTTATTACTAAATTGCATTCAGACGTGCATATCTGCTGTGTTTGACTTCAGAAGCTGAAGTAGCTATAGAAGGTGGAAGAAGAGGTCTGAGCGCTTCCAGAGCAAGGCAGTTGCCATTGTCCCCTGCAGTGCTGCTTCTGATAACTGTGCTTACGCCTGAGACACGCAGCCTTTACCCATACAGGTATCCACATATGTTCTCTCCTGACCAGTCCTTACTTTCTCTAGATTCTGTGCAGCTCATCACCCTATGCATGTTTCTTATCATAATAATATACTTCTTTATTTATAGTTTAAAATATATTTTTAAGTAATTATAAATTTAAATGTGTTCATTGCTTTCTGAGAACATATTGGGAGGTGAAAATGTTCTCAGAATGTAATGTGCCTAATCATTTTCCTGGTATGTAGATTCATGCTTTCTTCTCAGACTACTACTTTAATTAAACCATGTAAAGTTTATGTGGCTTCAGCTTGACATTGCTGCAGGCATTTTGAGTTGAACTGGCCATGACTGCCCCAGAGTAATCCTAGTTGTTTTTCCTACAGAATTTCCCAGCAAACTATAACAGACAAAATCATTAGAGGGGGATGTGGAGCTTTACATCTAGACCCTGGTTCCAGAGAAGTGCCCAGTTATCTTAAGATAACTGGGAACATTCCATCTAGGATGAGGTTGCTTTTGTCCTAAGTCACAAAAACGCCCTCCTTCTGACCCAAATTGTTAAGAATCTAACTCCTCTTGCTGCCCCCCTGGAATATGCATCTGTCAGTAAAAACCCCTAAAATAGAGTGGTGCAATTCTGGACCTGCCTGCCTCTTTCTTCTGCCTCATGGCACTTTGGGACCCGTCCTCATACATTAGGACTGAGACATTCTAAAATGGAGCTCAAAGGGATCTAAAACTCCAACTTATTTTGTATTTATTCTTTTTTCTTTTACAAACACTTGAGTTAGGTATACTTTCCCCTTAGCAATGTGTGGAAACCACAAGGTGAGGGCGCCCTAATAGAAAAGTGTTCTGAGTTTTAGTGGCTCAGCAGCATATTCTGCTGCTTGGGAGAGAAATTTCCTCTTCAGGAGCCTTCATCATTAATCTGCCCAAATACAACAAACTGGAAATTTTCCCTGACACATTCAGTTTTTGGATGTGTTTCACAATTTCAAACAAGTTGGCTACTTCCCCCAGTATAAGTAGCCAACTTGTGAAGGTCCTATACTTGCATGACTGAAGTTCTTGCAGAAACAATGACTTCAAGGAAGCAGAAAGTGCAAGCAAATGTTCCCACAGGGAGTTGTGCTCCTGCACGGAGTGTTATGGGACAAGTGTTTCCCATGGCAGCAGCTGCAAGGTCTCAGCGACTCTGAGACACAACACTTCCCCCATCTCCTCCAGGACCTCTTTTTAGACAGAGTAGCTCTCTCCTCTGCTTGGTTTCTTATTGCTAATTTCTAAGGCTCCCGCGTGCCTTGATTTTTCTCATAGCACTGACTGTCTAAAAGTAATCACTGTGAACTTAAATAATGTGTAGGGAATGGTAAAAGGTGCTTTTTATGCAACCCGATTCACACAATTTCAGTTGATCAGATAAGGCCCACGGGCAGGGAGGAATGCTATAGTGGCCCAGTTTACACAGCCTGGGTGTGGCAGGGCCTGTGTCCTAGCCCAGCAGGAATTTAGCCTCATCTGTTTGAATGTTACTAACTCCAGAGAGTGCAGTCAGGCCATGGTGACCCACAAAGTTGTATCTCTTCCTTGCCAGGACTGCCAGAGGAGACATCACAGGTGGCTTAAACAACAGGAGCTATTCTCTCACAGATCTGGAAACTAGAAATCTGAGAACACAGTGTTGCAGGATGGTTTCCTTCTAAGGCTCTGATGGGGAATCTGTCTCAGGCCTCTCCCTTGGCATGTGGAGGTTGCTGGTGATCTTTGGTGTTCCTTAGTGTGTAGAAGCATCACCCCGATCCCTGCCTTCATTTGAATATGCTGTTTTCCCTGTGTGTGCAGCTGCATCCAAATACCCCTTTCTCATGAGGATGTCAGTCCTGTTGGATTAAGGTCCACCCTAATGACCTCGTTTTAATTTGCTTACCTCTAGAGTCCCTTTCTTCAATTAAGGCCACAATCTAAGGTACTGGGGGTTAGGCTCCAACATTTAAATTTTGGAAGATATATCCAATCTGTGAGAGGCCCTTGCCTGGTATTCTACCCTGGGTCTGTGGAAGCTGATATGCACCTGTAGGGGCCATGAGTAACACACAGCAGCAATGTGCATAGATTTCCGTTGCTTGCCTTCCACAACACAGGGCTCCATTGCTGTGCCCATAGAGAAAGAGCAGAAGTCTCCAGCTCCAGAAATTAAGCCTCTAAGTGCATAATTTGGCTGTGCCTTTTAAATCAGATTGGCCAAATTTCAATAGCACTCACCTTTAAATTCTTAGGTAACAGCAGAGTTACCACAACGCTTCTTGAATGTCTTTCTATTTCCAGGCCCTGAGAAGAAGGAAGAAAAGGGCTGATATCTAATACTTAATAAGAATTTACTTATGTAATCTCAGTTAATCCTCACAACCTGCCCATGAAGTAGGTTTCATTAGTTTCCCAGGGCTGCCATTAAAATACATACACTGGTTAGCTTAAACAAGAAAAAATCATTCTCTCACAGTTCTGGAGGTGAGAAGTCCAAGATCGAGTTGTTGGCCTGACTGTGTGTGCTTCCTCGGGAGACTCAAGGTGGGTTGGGGCTGGGTTTGGGGTGGTGGTGGTGATGTTGGAGCTGCCTCTCCCAGCTTCCGGTGGTGGCTGCTGATCCTCTCCACTGCTTGGATTACAGATGCACCACTCTAGCCTCCTTTGTCTGCACATGGCCGCCAGCCCTGGGACTCCGTGTGAATCCCCTCTCCTTGGAAGGACATTGAAGCTATATTTAGACCCCACCTGAATCCAACAGAGCCCAATTTCATTTACTTATGTATTCAACATCTGCAAAGAGTTTATTTCCACATAAGGCACCATTCATATATCTTTTTGAGGAACTCAACTAATCTTCAACTTTATTTTATAGATGACTAAGCCGAAGTTTAGAGCAGTGATGTCATTTGTCAGGTTTGAGTTTGTGAGAGGGCAGAATTGGGATTAAAATCCCATTCTGGCCAGGTTAGAGCCAGTGCTTCTCCTGCTCATCCATGCAAGGCCCCTCAGACTACTGGCATCACCCTCCCCACAAGCCCTGCTCCAGAGCATCCAGCTCAATCCATATGGTCAAAGTCCTTCCACAACAAACTTAGGTTAGTACCCACAGGGTTTTGTTCTAACAGCTTCAGGTTACCAATACCTCCTCTGTGGGAAGGTAACACTCTAATGGGAATCCTGGATGGTGAAGGCAGCTTTACCTGGGCAGCCCTGGCCATTGCACAGGCACTGATGTAAAGGACTCTGCAAACCTCAGTCAAACCACGTCATCAAAGAGGGCCTGTCAGGCACCAGTGTGCTTTCAGAAGTGGGAACAAAGGAGCAATTGGCATTGCTGTTCTGTTACTTGACCAGGTATTCTAGTTAACAGGCAGGGAGACTATGTCCTTGGAGCCACAGAACTAATTGTATTCTTTGAAGTAACCCTAATCCTGAAACCACAAGAATAACTAAGTGCAAGGCTTTTCTCCCTATTTTGGCTCATGACTTCTACTCTTCATAGCCTTAATTTGTATCCCAAACTCCATAGGCTCATTAGCCTTTTTCATAAGCTACTACTGAATGCAAACATCACCATATTCTGATGCAACAGCCTCCCTCCTGTATTAGTATAAACAGTAGCATTCTGAATGAAAATATCCCTCTGCTGCCTCCACCTGTCATTACCAAAGCACACATGAAAGCCCCAGCAGGGTCCACAGTTCTTGCAGTTATATTACCCAAACCAGGAGCTTCTGGTACAATATAGATTTTTATAATTGAAAACCCACTAACACAACATATATCCTATTCATTTCTTATGCCATCCCTGTGAGGATTAATGATAACAAGCTTTTCTTAAAATCCCTTGAGGCATAGCCACACAGCACTAGAGATGGTGCTATTCTGACCTAAACACCATGAAGCTTTATGAGAGTCACAGCCTCAGTTTCATGTCACCAATACTCTTCTGTTTTAGAATCTCAAACTGTGAATAAATTCATAGCTGAATAATATTATTAGTCTGTGGACTACAAATAGTACTTCCCTTAGTAGCAGTGTGGTGGTTCTGGTTAATTGATCCCTGTCCCCAAGACCCTGGGGCTAGGAATCATGGACACGGTGCTGCCTCTTGGTTGCAGAGAGAAAATTGCCTGAGGGTCCTCCATTATTTCCCAGATTGCTCTCTATACCCTAGTTTATAATCCTGGAAAGCTCCTGGGAGTTAAGAGGCTGAGCTTCCCCTGAGCTCTATCTGAGTTAGATTAATTTTTAGTCAGGGTCCACACCCAGGGCAGAGGTAAGTGGCACAAAGGGAAGTGCTCAGGCCTTTGGACTGGCAGGGATTTCCATGTTCACATTCTTCCCTCTTGTGTTCTGTGGCTTTTTGTGCTCTGTTAGGCAAAACAGGAGAGATGGATGCCCCCTCTCCCAAAATAGGATATCATGACATACCAGGCCTATTTCACATTGTACTGGCTTCTCAAATCCAGAGGGCCCCTGGAACCGTCTACAGTAGGGCTTTTAGAAAGGATATATTTAAAATAAATGTTTCTCAATTCAAAAATAACCTTTTTTTTAAAAGTTAAATTTCAGGGCTAGGGCTATGGCTCAGTGATAGAGTACTTGCTTCGAATGTGTAAGGCCCTTGGTTCAATCCCTGGTACTGGAAAACAATTCAGTTTTTTATATGGGAAAAACATCATAGAGGTGTTTACTAGGCATCTTGAACTTTCTAATGCTGTTAGGTCTTGGAATTCCCAGCTCCTTCTTTTCTTTCTTCTTTTGTAGAGCGAATGGTGCACCAAATATGCCCCTTGGGAAAGTGTGGAAATGATTCCATGCTTATGTCTCAAGTAAATAAACGTGTTGGGAGCATATAGATTGCCTCATTTTTCATATAAAATGCACATTTGTTTACATACAGATCAGTATTACACATGTAATTTTTTTTGAGACAGGGTCTCGCTATGTTGTTCAGGTAGTTCAGGCTGGCCTTGAGTGCACTATGTAGCCCAGCCTGTCTTCAAACTAGCAGTGATCCTCCTGCCTCTGCCTTCTGAGTGCTGGGATTACAGGCATGCACCCCCACACTTGGCTTTACACATGTAATTTCTCAATGTTGTGGCCTCAGGATCTAGTATGGAAACTTAGAGAATGCAGGATGTAACAGTTAAAAATGTGTTGGATGCTTAGAGCCTATGAAATATTTTCCCTGTATATTTAATGGGACTTACTAAAGAATCTCAAAATTTAAGTAAGTGCTATATAAATGAATCTTAAAGAGATAAATGTCTTTTAAACAACATGTAAAAAATAATTGTTTTAACAAATGCCTTTATGATGTAAATAATTACAACTCAGTTTAGCGAATCTGCTGAGCTCACTCGTTATAGTGGTGTCAGTAGGTTCTCTAGTGGCTCTGAGGGATTCATGGGAGAGGAGAGAGCAAACCACGTCAGTGTGGAGACAGAACAAGACAATAGCAAAAGACAAATGTTTAAAGCAGCAACCATGCAGCGAACTCACCAGAACCTTGGACTTTCACATGGGATCTTCATTACTATTCCTCTAGTTACAAAACAAGCTGGACAGCCAGATTTAAGGTGCTAGAGAAATGGAGACTATGGCTCCCTCTGCTGATCAACACATTAAAATTCTGAAAACATTTGGTGCCATTTATTGAAAAGTTAAACACATGGCAGTAAAGAATAAAATGAGTCCTGTCTTCCTTATCCTCTCTAGATTAATGGAAAATGTTAAAATAAGAATAACCACTCCATATATTTTAGAATACTATGTAAATCTTTGCCTCTATTCCCCATTTCAGTAATATGGGGCACATCTGAAGAAGGCAAGGAGTGGGCTGCACCTCACACTGGCTGAGGAAGTCCAATGTATTTAAATTCCTTAAAAACTCAAGAGCTTAGTAAGGAGTGACTGCAACTCCCTTTTGTAGGGAATGGGCTGCATCTCACACTGCCTGAGGAAATTTGTTGTTTGTATGACTGGTCACCCAACTCTATCTCAGGCCCTTCCACTAACTAGCTGCCTTACTCATAAACTAACTAAATGAACCATCTTCTATAAAAGGAGGTGGTCTACTCCCAGGTGAAAGAGTCTATTTGCAAGTAAAAAGGGAAGGGCTGAACCAATTTGCAGGTAAGAAGGAATTGCCCAGGCTTCTTGTATTTTGGTAGAAAAGACAGGAAAAAATTAATCTGGGTTTGTGTTCTGAAGCTGCAGTTTTTATTTTTAAAATTGTGATTTTTCCTGGCCTCCTTTCTACCTATCTTTATTTCTTCTATCTCACTTCAGAATCACTTAAAGTTCTCCACATTGGGACCTCATCATCCATAACAGTATAGTTCCCACTCTGGGGATAATAGTCCTTACTAGAATAAATCTGATCCAGTATTTCTTTTGCTACCAGTGCCTCCCTTTCCTGGAGGATTAAATCCTTCCCTTGACCAGGGATGTAGCTCAGTGGTGCCATACCTGCCTGGCAAGCATAAGGTCCAGTACCACACACACACACACACACACACACACACACACACACACACACATATACACAAACACACATACACACACGCACAAACTGTTTTATGTCTAAATCCTTCCCTTGATGTGTAAGAACTTTGACCACTTGTCTTTAACTTGAGACAGGAAAGTAGGGCATGGTCAAGACTGGCTGAGAAAGGAAGTATGATGAGATTTTGGAATATGTGGGTGGAATAGTTCCCAAAGCCCTGCCTGTGGACTTCTCATGGAAACTCGAGCAGGTTTTTGATAGAATGGCCTAGACCTGATGTCAGCCTGAGGAGTGGGTGATACAAAAAAGATAGCCCACACTGAGTTTTTAGCCTCTGTGTCCTCTCTTGCATGGTGGCCCACCTTCACGCTGTGTGGTTATTTCTTTTCTTACTTTGCCCAGACTTGCTCTGCAGAGCCAGTTTCTTTTCCTACCTTTAATAAAATCTTGCTACCGCTTGTACTTGTCTTGACTTAATTCTTTGCTCAGGGCAGAAAGAACCTAGAAACACCTCTAGAAGGAGACTCCACTATCCCAGAATCTGTAACAAATCCATCAGTTGCCAAACTCCACTGCACACCTTTACTTTATGTCTAATGGAATCCTGTGATAGTCAACCTGACTCCATTTGTATAAAGTCAAGTGATTCTGGGTGGTCACCTTCCCCTTCCCCCATGAGAGTCCCCTCAGTTAATACATGACAGACTGCCACATCCTGTGTGAATCTGCAACTATGTTATCTTTACTACCATGTAAACAGTGTACTCTTTACCTGTGTAAGTTTGCAGCTATGTTATCTTTACTATCTTGTAAACAGTATGCTCTGCACCTGTGTGATATTTTCTTTCAATTAAACTTTGTGAAACTTTCCTTGACCCCCACTAATTTAGCAAAGTTCTGTTCCTGTGAAATTAAACTTGCACACCCCCTCTCCCTGAGCCTTCCACAATTAGAAGAGCCATTTAAAAGGATCCCAAAAGCTGCTTTTCCTTTGTCAAGAATTTTTCTGGCATGAGTCACTCTTGATCACTGGCTTATGACAATAATAAAGGACTCAACTTGATTCAGAGTGTGGTAGATCTCTATAGTTCCAATTCATCCAGCTCTATAACGTTGGAGGCCCCAGGGAGATAGACACTCTATGTGTGGACTGACCTCGCTGTGGTCCCTCCCGTCTGTGGCAGCAAACTATATGGGAGGCCCCCCTGAGATGTTCCAGGGCCCTGTAGTCTCACTGCCAACGCTGAGGAGACCACAGAAACACCTGAGACATCCCCCAAAATTTCCGGAGTCCATCTGGTCTGGCCTGAAGGTAAGGATCCTTCTGTTCTGGTGGGAACAATAGTCCTTGAGGAAGGCATCCCCTAGGCCCCTCCTAAGGTTAAGACACTGACTGAGGTGACCTTCTGGTCTGGTCTGTTCTGGTCTGGCTGCAAATCAGCCAATCTGGGAAATCCCTGGGGAAGGGTTTGGAATGTTTTTAATCTCTCAATGATTGCTGTATGAATGGGTGTATGACTGGAAATGGACAGTGTAAGCTATAGACCTTTCCGTCCATGCCCCATGACAAAGGGGGAGATTCTCCCCGCTTGGAGTTACGGGGTCTGAATGAGGTTGTACTGTGATTCCATGGATGCATCTAAGGAAGGCCAAGTGGGTACTCTTGTGATGAGATAAATACACCCTAAAGCCTGGATGGTCCTTAAAGTGGCCGAGAGGCCTGTGGGCAGTCAACTGACTGAGTGCTTCTTCACAGAGAGGAACACCCCCTCCCTTTGTCACGACATTGCCGCGGACCAGCCGGGGCAAGTCGAACAGAACCTGAAACGGGGCGTGAGGATTGAAGAAAAGAAGACAAGGGGGCTCCCAGGCAAGACCGAACAACTTTATTGACTTTACTGCTCTCTTTTATAGCACTCAAGAATAGAAAACATCTTACATAGGGCACATCTGGAAATTCCCCAGGCCTGAGACAGTCCCGTGTTTTCTTTTCCCTAGCTCCGTGTCCTTGTGCTGCTCTTATCACTTTCTCCTATGCCTAACTTCTTCAGAGCTGGACAGCAAGCTCTACAATATTTCACTTAACCCTTTCATAGGAAATCCAAGTTGTCCATTTTAATACTTACAGAGCTGTTGGCTCTCCACACGACATCATTCAAGGGTGCACCACATAAGTACTAAAAGATTCTCTCTATGTCCTGACACCCTGTTGTTTCCGGACACTCGGACCTGTCTTCTTTCTCTGAATTGTGGCTGATCTCTTGCTGCCAGGACTCCCCTGACTGCTTTCCCGCTGAGCCTGACTAGGTTCACCCTTCTGTTCTGTTATGGGATATCGGGTTGGTCACTCTGCCTGTGACAACTTGGGCCTTCTTTTTGGCCTTCTGACCTATTTAGGATTAGCTTCTTCCTTCACTCCGTCTGCCGAATGACAGAACATCCCTGCTTCCTGTCAGTGACAGGTCCCCTCTTCTTTCTAAAGCTCTCTGCTGACACCCTTGGGCCGGGAATTCCACTCTAACCTAGTGTCTCTCTCGATCTCCCTCGGAGTGCCCTTGTTGTGCCCCTTCTTTTGCCTCATCTTCCAGCCCTACATGGTTTCATCAGGGTGCTGTTGTTTTCCTCCCAGGTTATTGTCATCGCCACCCAAAGTCTCTTCATTCCTCTAATTGGCATTTTGCCCCCTCCCTGGCCCTCTGGGCCCATCTGGATTTTGCTCCTGCCCCATCTTTTCTGTCATATTGCCTCTTTTCCTTCTGCCCTACCACCTGGCCTAACCCCCCAATGAATATGCTTGGGGACCTCTCAGACTCCTTCATTTCCTTAACTATTTCTACTGCCAGCCTATCCCGAACTTTGCTCATCAACCCCCTGCCCCCCACCGTCTCTCCTCTCTCAACTGTCTTCTTGATCCCACTCACCATCCATCTCTTTGGACCTGCTGTTCCCAAAACCCCTTTCTTCCCCCTTACCAGGCCCTCTCCCTCCTCGACCTCACTGTTGACACACTCCTGACTCCACTCAGACACCTGGCCTTCTGGTGTCTCTTTCTATATCAGGAGTGGCTCTATCAATGTTGCCTCTGGAAGTGCCCAAATTATCCTGGACCCAGGCCCCACTTTCCTGGTTGTAACTGGTCTTGTGGGTCCCACCATAGGACTGCGCACTTCGGATCCCCACTGCCCTGTGAATTTTTGTTCTGCCTTCTTGAGCTGCTCCCCCACTGCTCTACTGGCCTTCCTTCCCCCTGGTCATCTTAACTGCCTTTCTTCTTGGCATTGGATTGATGTCAGTGGTTTCTGAGGACTGCTTGCTAGTTGAAAGAGGGTCCTTCTAATTGTCTCCTGGACCCTTTTGTTTGCCTTTAGTTTCCTGATTTGCATATCCTGACTTGCCCTCTTTTTACACTTTAGTACCCCTTGAACTTGTCCCTACTATGGGGTCCTATGCTTCTCGACCTTCCTCCCCATTGACTTGCATGCTTAAAAATTTCTCCTCAGGATTCCCAGGTGACTATGGGGTTAAGATGTCAAAGAATAAGCTCTGCACCTTCTTTGAAATTGACTGGGTCTCTTTTGGAGTGGGTTAGCCTTCAGGAGGTTCACTAGACCCAGCCCTAGCCCAGGTGATCTGGAGGGTAGTCACCTCTGACCTCTACAACTGGAAAACTCAGAATCCACCATTTTCAGAGAAACCTAGGTTCTAATATCTTTGACAGAATCTATTTTCAGGACTCATCTGCCAACCTGGGATGTTTGCCAGCAACTAGTACTGACACTCTTTACAGTGCAGGACAGGGAACAAATTAGGGCTGAGGCTAGAAAGGCCCTATTAGGAGGGTGATCTGAGGAGGAGGAGGAGGCACAGGAAATGCTGAAGCAGGGCTTCCCCTCAGAGCATCCAAAATGGGATACAAACATCTCAGGTGGGTACCAGTTACTGACCACACTTTGAGTGGTTTTAAGTTCTGTCTAATAAACTTCTTTATGCCTCTTAGTGAAGCATTCTGAAAATTCTTTTTCTGTGATGGAAGTCAGTGAACCTGCATCCTATGCCATAGGTGAGGTGAGTCAAGATTCCTCCTCTCCACTTTGGGGACCTCCTTGGGTCCTGTCTGGTGATACCTTCACTGTGCACATTTTGTGATTTAATTCTACCTAACTAGCTATATTCCCGACCCACTCCCAAGCCCAATTTGAAGATCTTCGCTCTAGATTCTCATACTTGTATATTGTTTTCTTGTCTACAAGGCAATAGGAGAACCAGACCTGCCAAAACAGTTAAGAGCTTTTTAAATGGTACTCCCTGTTTAAAAAAATTTTATTATACATGAATTTGGCATAGAATGTAATGCCTGTGAATTTGTAATATGCATTTTTTTGGTACTAGGAATTGAACTCAGGACCTTGTGGTTTTGAGGCAGGCATGGTGCCACTGAGCTAAATTACTAATTGTAATTACATTTAAAAAACAACTGTCACTGTTTTTTGCTACTTCCATGTGTTAATATGTTTATTTTCTTTCTGTGAATTTATTATAGAGACCTGTTAAAAGTGAAATTGTCCAGCATATAGACACATGGAAATTTGGTAACAATTAGGTGGTCTTAATTAACTTGCTCAGTACTACAGCCCCTGATTTCTGTGTTCCTGCACCAGGCTCCCAGTCCACAAGGCACATTCCAGAGAAAATGACATTCTTCTTCAATGCAATGCACTCACTATAGTATTTTTCTTAGTAAGAACACAAGTATAAAAGCATGTTATATAATTTATATAAGCCAAATTATTGACCTTCCCTCCATTAAATAAAATTTTTATTCAAGATAATTAGGAAATGAAAGTCATTAGGTTATATTAAGTTATTCTATTTATTGATGTTTTCATTTTTTTCCTGATCTTTTGTGAAATTTGTCAATTATAGAAGACAAGTAAGTAGACAGAGTGAGCTAATGTTTCTTTGGAGTGATGGCTGCCATGTTCTAATAAAACTCACCACTCTAAAGTCTGTCCCCTTTCTGACATTCCACTTATTTCCAAGAACTCATTCAATAATAAGAGAGGTTAAAAAAGTATCTTTAAAAATTAAGATCTTTAAAAATTGAGTAAGCTATATCTCCAGCTTGCCCATGCTGAGAGTGTGAACTTCCACCCCCAGCCTTGGTGCCAAGCAGGTTTCAACAGAACCAGATTTTCAGTATTTTTCTGGGCACCTTGTGTACCAGGTGTGGTGATGCTGGAGTCTCCTTCTAGAGGTGGTTTCTAGGTTCTTTCTGTCCTGAACAAAGAACTGATCAAGACAAGCACAAAAAGTAGTGAGGTTTTACATTTATTAAAGGTATAAAATGTAGGGGACCACCTTATTGATTATGCCCAAAGCAGGCTTTAAGAAGTACAGGCTGTAAAGAGTTAACCCAGAAATTGGCTCATTTTAAGAAGTGAGTCTGGGGCCAGGGATTTAGCTCAGTGGCGCTGCCACCTGCCTTGCAAGCACAAGGTCCTGAGTTTGATCTCTGGTACCAAAAAAAAAAAGTGAGTCTGATTGAAGCTTATATGACCTATAGAAGCACCTCATAAGCACCATAGTAGTGTGCAAGTTAGCAGGTTAGCATGAACCTACCGCTAATAGCTGCAGCAGAGACCAGATAAATGGCCTGTGAAGCTGTGCGGCTCAATATGAGATAACATCATAGCTGAGGTTGAAGTAAGTTGCACCCAAATTCCATTCTCATGACTAAAACCTTCTTAACTAGAAGGACAAGGGTCTAATTACAACTCTATATTTTGTCTGTTTTGTTCCTAATTCAAGAATGCTTTGTCTTTTCCTTTATAAGCCTTACCTGCATTAGTATCCATAGGAACTACACAACTGCACGTCCTTGGATGTAGTTCCCCTTTACCCCAATCTGATTAGCAATAAAAATCAGTGGCTTGAACTGGCCAGGGCCTTTGCTGGTTGCTCAGTTCTGGCCGTCCTGGCTTCCAACTTTTTTCTTTACTTCTGCTTTTGAGGCTTTCTTTAACCCTGCATTGTACATTGGGCAGGAGACTGGAACCTAGTGTA